TATCTTCTAATAAGTTTTCATTTGGAGAATCGTTAAAAAATATRTATCTAATGAATTATAACCTATATATTTTGTATGTAAAGTTAATAAGATTTAGACAAAAACGACWATTACTTGTAAGGACTTAAAAAAAAAGAAAGGAAAAAAGGAAGAAAACTGGGAATTTTTGTGTTGGGACAAGAATGTGACAGGGGACATGTGGTGGATATGAGAGAGAGAAAAAGGAAAAAGAAATTGGAAAGGAAGAAAGAAAACAGAAAAGAAAAGAAGAGGGAGAGAGAACGAAGGAGGAGAAGAGAAAGATAAGGGAAGCAGAGGGAAGAGAAGGGGTAGGATCGAGGAGTGAGGAATGGGTGAAATTGGTAAGTAATTATGTCCGAGAATCTGAAAATTGAAATTTAGTTGTATTTTACGTGGTTCTATCTCAAAATTAATTGACAATAAGAGATTATCCATGTTTATTATAAACTATGTAAGGTCCTTAACATGCCCCTCGAGATCGTGACTCTTTTAGTTTATCGATCTTGGCTGGATCCCATTTTTGATCGATTGCTCGTTCGAGCGTTTTGGAAATTGATACCATATCAAGATTGTTTATTATAAACTATTACAAGTCTCTTCTCTTCTTACGAGATATTTTTTTCAATCAGTTTATATATTCATGAGTACAAGTTAAAAGCAATATATTAAAAATTGATTTTACAGTGGATGTAGGATTTATTTGCTATTGGGTTTATGGCAGAAACTTGAGGGAGAAGTGAGATTTTGTTGGGCTGTTGAAGAAAGAAGATGAAAAGAATAAGAAGGGTCTGATTATATGAGTTATATTGAGAGGTTTGAAGGTGTAATAAAAATTAAGTAGGAAGGAGTTTCTTGGTTGAGGAAAAGGAAGAAAACAGAGAGGAGGAAGGAAGAAGAAAGGGTAGAGAAATGGAGAAATTCGTGTGTTTGAAGGAAGAAGATGAATAGTTGTTGAAGTGAGAGAAAGAAATTATGAATTACAATAAAGAAGATATAATAAAAGTAAAAAGAAAATGGGTGAATTGAGCCAGATGGAGTAGTGGGAGAAAGAGGAATTGATTGGTTTATTGTGGGACCCACAATTAGAATAATAGGAGAGAGAAGAAAGTGAGTATTCAATGAAGAAAGATAATGGTTTGTTTATTCGACGATTGGTTTTATTTGAAGATACTCGATTTTAAGTGAATTAATTTCGTATTGAATCCATATCCTAGAAATTGGAGATCCAATTTAAACGATTTGAGAAAACGTTTTAGATATTTATCATTGAAATTTTTAAGTGGTTATTTTATTAAATGTTTTCTAGTATATATTAATATAGAATTTCTGAGAAATTATATATTATGGATGTTTTAGTATTTTTGTTGGGAGTGAAAACAGAATGTGGTTGTCTTGAGAATTTATAAGAGTCTGTTGGAAACTCGAATTCTGTTTTTTTGTTTCCAGATTCACTCAATCAAATGGATTCAGCGAATAGGCGGCATAATTTTTTAGATTTGTTTCTGAAAACTGTTTTCGGATTCTGTGATCCAAACAGTAGAAATTTTGAAAACGACTTTTTTATATTTTTAGTGTTTTCAGATTCAGAATTTGAAAATTTTAAGATGCAGAATTATATTAGAAAGATAAAAACTTTGATAAAATATATTACTTTATATTATAAACTCATTTTATGCTTGTTAAAATTGAAACATGTAAAATTATATAACCTTTAAAATCATAATTATACAAAATTTATTAAAAAAATGTTAATAAATTAATTAATATAAGTTTAGATTAAACTAAAATTTAGTTTGTAACTACTTCTAGTTTATAAATATATTGCTAAACAAGTATTGAACAATTTTTTAAATTGAGATTCAATTACCAAATCTACTACCAAACACATATTTGAAAACACTGAAAATAAAAAGTACAATTCTGATTTTCATTAAATCCCTTGTTTTCAATTTTATGTTTTCTGATTACCAACCAAACGCACCCTAAATGTTTTTGAGAATTTAGAAATGCTTTATGATTTTAAAAAAAAAATACTTAAAGCTTATGAAATGTATTTAAAAAGAGATTTCAGAAAATGATTTTAAAATTTCATGGAATGTTCTTAGAAAGAAATATTTTAGAAATGTTTTGAGAAAGTTAAAAAAATTCTTAGAAAGAAGAAAATAATTTTAGAACAGTTTATGAGGTTGAGAAGAGTTTTCAAACCATCGTGTTATTGTATTTAAGTGATTATCCGTATGCTATAAGAATGTATTTTTATAGTATACCCATAAATAGAAGGTTTTGGGATCATTTGACTCCGCACGTTGAAAGAATTATTATGGTGTGTATTGAGATTACTTTGTGCCAGTAGACCATAATAGAATATGGATACATGTGCGGTGTTCAGGTTTTGTTTATCTGTTTTAAGTTTGAAAGAATAATGTCTTATATGTTTTAGAATGTGTTTTAAAGCAGGTTGAGAAGTTGACGTAACTAAGTCGCAAGAAACGCAGGGGAATACAGGGGCAATTAGGGTCAAATCCGGATTCTAAATTCTGGTCCAAATCATGGACTTGAGAGCGTTGCCTTTTCAATTTGCCTAGAAAGAAAGTGTTGTTACAAGTTTGTTATTAGAAAGTTTACTGAGTTTTTAGTTGCTCGAGTTTTATGAAGTTTGTTTTAAGAGTTTAAATTTCAATTGTTTATGTAAGAAATTTTGCGAGATTATTTTCTTATCAACTTGCCAYTCATTGAGCTTTTCAGCTTACTCTTTATAATTTGTTTTTCCCCCAGACTGTACCTGAGTTTCTGACTTTCTGAGTTTCAAGGAGGAAGTAAATCAGCGTCTGCCACCTAGAGTAGTTCAAGGGTTGCATTGTAAGCCGTGTATTTGTAAGAGTTTTACATTTACATCAGGTCGATGGAATAGAATGTTTAGAATTGATGTATGAATGATTGTTCAATTGAGATTATTGTTTTGGGACGGGTCATGTCATTACTATTTTGAAAATTTGTAAGTTTTAGTAAAATTGGTTAATGGTCAATTTTGTGCATTAATCAAACTTAATTTTGGACCAAGCTTGATTTTTATTATAATAAAATGTAATAAATCCTAACCTAATAGATTTTTTTGTATTATAAAAGTTTATTCAAATAATATTCGGATAGTAAATTTTCAAAAAATCTTTTTAATGACTTTTTATGATTCTTCGACGCTCCAAGAAGTGTGAAACTCACGAATCTATTCTATTTACTAAAAAAATAATAATAAATAATGTTTTACTGAAATTTGACGGGGGCGATGGTTAAATGTAGATGAACGGATTTTTTAAAATATATTTTTGAAACTATTTTTTAAAATATTGTTGTTTTAATGAACTAGCATTTAACTTAGATCCAATATTTTTGTGATTTTCTTTTTCTTTTTTACTCTATTTTCGCCCTCTTTAATTTATATCCACAATATAGTAATTTTAACCTTTAAATTTTCTTTTATGTAAATATATAAATTTTATTTTAAACATTTTAATTTAATAAATTTTTTCGGAAATAATTTTAATTTAATAAWTTGACTTTATATAAATAATTGCAATTTAAACTTATTTAAAATTCAATTTAAATACAAAGTGTGTACAGATAGTTGTCTCGTCTTTAAAGAAATAAAAACAATTTAAAACAAATCAATGAGTACGTGTTTTTTTTAGGTAAAGTAATAGAGAGAGCAAGCTAATAATCTTTTCACTAAAAAGTTAGAAAGTTAGATTTGGAGGGTCTTGGTCTCTCTCACGAACTTAACCATTTGGTGTTTTCACACCGTGTAAAACTGAAAGATAGAGACAGAAGAATCTTAATTTTCCACATCTTCTTTTTAGATAAGAAACTTGTATATTTTAGATCTAAGTTTGGGTGTTGCAACTAATACAAATGAACTTGTATCACATCAAAATTAAGACAACACATAAACGCATAATCACACGAAGGAAATAGTAAGAAATAGTAACCATCAATAAATAAAAATTCGATCAAACAAAGTAATAACTTGAGCATAATTCAATTCAAGTAAGGTTAAACTTCATACGAGACTAAATGTTGGAGTCCACACTCCCTCGGCAATAAAAAAAAAAATCAATCATACAAGATAAAGTGACCTAATTATAAAAATAATATAATATGTTATTTAAGAAAGAGAGCATCCAGCATATACCACTTATTTTGTCTAGATGGTGACAATTGCTTTTGTCACTGTCAAATAAACCGATATTTTACCAATAATTATATGACACATGTCATCTAACAATTTTATTTAATCGTATTCATAGAAAGACTACACCAAATCCAATTTAAATGGTAACCTATTTGAATTTTTTTAAGTTCGGAAGTGTGATTAATAAARCGGTAACTGATATATATCTCTTTCAATTAGAAATTGTGGGTTCGATCCCTCGCATCCACATGTTGTATTCAAAAAAATGATTTTAAACTTTCATAAAATTCACTTTTATTAGAAAAATAAAATCAATTTTTTATTTGTCAAAACATAACGARTAGAATACATAAATTTTATTGCTTTATTCTAAATTCTATTCTAATCATTATAATAGATTCGAATAATCTTGATAAGTTAGTTTATTGAATTCTCATATATTTCTATTTTCCATTATTCCAACCAATTATAAAGATTAAAAATAAATAAACYTTTTTTTTTTTTACTTTTAAACACAGTAAGACTTGAACCTAGATTTTGGATGTTAACATTCAAAATTCTTACCACTGCACCAACACCCGAAGGTACAATAAAAAATGAACCTACCCCATTGAATCATGACAAGAGAGAAGTGATTTTGACGTTATGTCAAATTTTGGTCATACCAAAATCACTCGCAAACTACTCSTTAATTAGCAAAAGGTCATTAGAATTATGGTWATAGGACAAAGATTATAGTTTGTATAAAATAATCGATAAAAGGAAAAAGGAAAATGAAAGTAGAGTAAGAAAGTCGAACCATTTATTTCCCTTTTGTACGAGAAATGACCCAACGTCGGGGCGGGAGATAAAAGATATCTTTTTCTTTTTTCTCCCTCCTCAGGGCTCCTCCATTTCCTGATCTCTCGTTCTATCAATCTTCTCTGCGACTACAAATCAGGTAACGTTTTTTTTTCTTCTCATTTTAATGTTTTCTTTTTCCGTTTTTCCTCATTGTTTCGTCTCTGTAGGAAGTTACCTTTATGTGTGCATCCAATCTGATTTCTTAAAAATTATTGTGAACTGGTTTCTGTTCATTATTCACTCAAGATTCAAGTTACGCGAGATATTTCATTTTTGGATCCGTGCTTTCTGTGYTAGTTACTCTTAACATCGTTATGAATCGCCTCATCTGTTTTTGATGAGTGATTGTTCTAACTAAAACATTAACGAACAATTTTTGTTTTTGAGTCTTAAATGGGTTAGTGCCTTCAGGCCGTTCAGGGTTTTGAAATTGCTCGAATGCATAAAGTTTTTTATGTTTGAATACCCATTTCAATGGATGCTGCATTCTGTACTGCCGCAGGCTTATATTGGTTGGGTCAAGTTACTATTTATCTCCCATATAGCAGATTTTCCGGCGAGTTGATTGGTTTCTGCAGCAAAATTTTGATCGTATTTTGAGGAAATGGGGTACATTGGTGCACATGGGATTGCAACGCTGCACAGATACAAGTACAGTGGTGTTGATCACTCTTACGTCGCCAAATATATACTGCAGCCCTTTTGGAGTCGCTTCGTCAATTTCTTTCCACTATGGATGCCGTAAGTAGAGCTTCATTGTTTCTATCAGTAGTGATTCTGTAAATTCAATAAAAGATTTCCCCTCAGTTACTGGACATGGTGTTTAGATGCGAACTGGAGAGGTTTCATTAGTCTGATTACATATACTTTTCTGGTAATCTTTCTTTCTGATGATGTGCTGACCTATCAATTTTCCTCTGTTCTCACTTCACTTGTGTTCCTGGATGATTTCATCAGTCCGAACATGGTAAACTGGCATTTCCTCGATTGTTATACTGTACCTTTTGCTTTGGCTTTCGAGATAATATGTTCTCTCCTTTGTGGCATGCTCTCGTTCCAGATAACTCTTATGGGATTTATGTTTTTGGTCACATCAGCAGTTCTTGGTTATGTGAGTAACATTCATYATTCCCTTTTAACTGCTCTTCTTTATGTTTCGCTCCTAATGCCGTCATTTTTATACTATGATCACCCTAATCTTGCGATGCTTGGTTGTAATGTTTAATAATAAATGTTCTAAGACATGTCAAGACTTTGTTTTATTAGTTTTGGTGCTTTTTAAATTATTTTCACTTGTCGTTAAATCTTTTCCTATTTGTATTAAAAATGTCATAGGGACAGCATACCTGAAATCGATAAAATATGGGCAAATATCACACGGGGTGCTGTTATATTTGTTGCCATATTAATGCATCGTAGTTCTTTAAATTATTCGTAGTTTTCTTTAATATTTATTGTTGGTTCGTTGATCCCTTAGTCTGTCTCATATTTTTGTTTTAACTGCACTTTCATATCAGATATATTCTCCTCATTTGGATTCACCTCCACCAAGGTGGGTTCATTTTGCTCATGGATTGCTTCTTTTTCTTTATCAGGTATGTTCTAATGTTATATATTGAGTTCTGTTGTACTTTTGCTTGGTTGGCGTGTTTAGGTGTCCCACCCATAGATCGCTTGGACATCAAGCATTTTGACATCTATTGAAGTGTTTCTAATTGACTTATATATATTTTATCCCTGTTTTACAAGACTTTTGATGCTGTTGATGGGAAGCAAGCGCGGAGGACAAATTCTTCAAGTCCATTGGGAGAACTTTTTGACCACGGTAATATTTATGGTTCCCCCCTTCCCGTGCTTCCTGCTTCTTGCTTACGCACCACTGAAGTTTAATGTTGAAACTTTGTTGTTATTGGGCTTCTTTCTGTCTTCCAGGATGTGATGCACTTGCCTGTGCGGTATGTATCCCGATACTTGGTTATTGTTGTATTTCCAGGCCTTCCCGGTGTTCATATAGATATATATTTTTTTTGTTTCTTCGTGTTGATACCAGTTTGAAACCTTAGCTTTTGGGAGCACCGCCATGTGTGGAAGATCTTCTTTCTGGTTTTGGATACTTTCATCTGTGCCGTTTTATGGTGCAACATGGGAACAGTAAGTTTGTTGTGCCACGTTATCTTGATTTGATAGAAATTATTATAAGTTATGGCAATGTCTCAGCCCTCATGAGTTTTGTTCTTAAAGACCTACTTTATTTGCCATAATGTACTGGTTACTTAAGCCAAATTAATGCTTTAGTGCATTTTATTATCAAGTTTTTCTTGTTAAACTGCAGGGACAGGGAGTGGATAGAATATAATTATGGGATTTAGAGCTCTGTTGCTGTTAATGACCTCCCTCGATAAAACTTTTCAAAGAAAATACTGTATAAAATAAAGCCATTTAGGAAGCCTCATCTCCCCCATTTTTGTTACACCTTGCTCTCTTAATGCAAGATCTCCATTTTCTATGAAAAAAATGGAAAAAGGATGGAATTTGATATTTCTAGAGAGGTCCCCTTTTCCAGTTGTAGACCTTGTTGTGCTTTCACAGATGGTAATAGTTGTCTTTGGCAGATGATATGTGTGATTATGCATCTTTATCGTGATTTGAGTGCTGCTGGGTAGACTTTGAACTCATCATCCTTCCATCTACCCTGCCATACAACTTAATGGAAATCCTGATGGAGAGCTTTTTTTTTCCACTGTGTAATAACATAATTAGCATATATTGTGTGCATGAGATTTTATTTTTCTGCCAATTTAGATAAGGACGATTGTTAACTTGGGTAGGTACTTTAATTTAATTTCCCAACTTTGAGGTYGGGTTTGGACCTGTAGCAACCCCCTCTCCAATATATATGCTTATTCGAAGAAATAAAAATTGACATCTAACTTGAATTTTTTTTTTTTTTTGAAAGAAACAATTTCATTGATAATATGAAATTACAAAAGAGACATCTAACTTGAATTTTCATCTTTGAGTACAGCTACTTCACCAATACTCTAATTCTTCCTGCTGTAAATGGACCTACTGAGGGTCTCATGCTGATTTATTTATGTCACTTTTTCACTACCTTTGTTGGTATATTCCTTCTCTCTGCTTGCAATTTCATTTTATGATTTTCTACCTTGAATATGTGATCCTCTGCCAACTTGATAGAAAAGTTCATAACTAGTCCTGAATATATCTTCTAACTCTCAGGTGCTGGGTGGTGGACTGAGCAGTTTGGGAAGTCCATACCAATTTTTAGTTGGGTTCCATTTCTTCATGGTAAGACTGTTGATCTAGTGTACCAACTACCAATGAAATTGCTCTCTATTGTATATACAAACCCTCAGCACTTCTAACTAACATTTGTAGAATATTATCCTCCCTCCCTCTCTCTCTCACTTTCTATGACCGGTTTCTATACTGAAGTTTCAGCTTTGTACTTCAATTTTATATGCAAGATTCTAGTGCAGCTGTACTTGGCTCTTCTGGTTGCATTTATCTTGCTCTGTGTTGTCTCATGCCTTTTTGGGTGGCCTGGTTCACTTTATTGTATATAGATTGGGGCCATTGGGCATAAAATGCATGTCTTGTTTAAATGAAATAATGCATACAGTTTCCAAATTCCAAGTTCAGCCCCAAGTTTTAGTTGCGCTTTGATGGAGGAGTGAAGAAATTATATGGCAGTTGCAGTGTGGCTAAGAAAAGCCATTTATTTGAAATTCTAGTTATAAAGGAATTAATAGGCCTTCTATACAAATTCAGGAGTTGGGATGAAGTCTTTGACTTGGCTAAGTTCATAGCTTCTAACCAGTGTATTGTACACCCTGTTGATAGATTATTTATTTAATTATACCTGTTTCTAGCTGATTGTGATTTGTGGTGAGCCTCCTGTTGGGGCTTGTGGCCATTGGATTTCACCATGTAACCTTTCACTAATTCAACAAAGAGTTTAAAAAATTTAAATGAAAGCTGGAAAAACCTATGGTTCTTGAGTTGGGTGACCCTTCCAACTGAAAATTAGTGGGTTTTCGGCTGTACATTCCTTTCTTCTCCTTGAGTCATGGTGGAAGGAATCTTCTCAAGAGCTTTCATAAAGGCCTCTTTATCACCCGTAACATATTGTAGACATATATATATATATATATTTTTAACGAGAAACCGAACTTTCATTACGAAAAAATGAAAGAGAGATTTAGACACCAAATTTGCTAACTCTCTGCAACCCGTGGGCAGAATTTTGTCCTCTGGCTTTCTTTTTCTTCTTCTTCTTCCCCTCGGAATTGGTGATAGTCTTGCGATCAGGGAAATTAATCCACAAGGAGACTTTCATCTGCTGATTGACATCCAACTCCTCTAACTTCAAGAAGGGATGAACTTCTACATTTTCTCTATTTTTTCTGTCTCACCAAACCTACCAGCAACATTTTCCATAGAATAATTGCCAAGTTTTCCTCTTCCGTCATTTTTGAAACCATAGATCAAGCTCTCCACTGGTTGCATATAAGCAAGGGTGGTAAAATAGGGGAAAGAATATTKCATTCTTCCATAAGCTTGTCGTGGAATTGTCGTGGAAGTTTTACCTTTGGCTTAGTGGTAGAAGCAGTCTCTAGCCCCCCTTGAGCGCCTGTGTTCGAGACCAACATTTTACATAAGCTTGTCGTGGAACAAGAAAGGTAGTCTTCAATGCTGTTTTATCTTGATTATTGGGGATAGCTTGTGGCTTGAGCTTTTCAATGCTGTCTGATCTCGATTGAGGCTAGCTTGTGCCTTTAGCTTTTTTTTCAAGGATTAGACCTAAGATCGTTTCCACGGGACAGAAGTTCACCTCTGTCATCATAATGATAGCCATTAGCCACTCCCCAAATTCTCTATCAAGAAGGTTCCTTCTGAAAACCAAGTTCCCTTTGCCATTTCCAACATTCCAGCTTCATATATGCTAAATTGCTTACTCTTTGAGTGGGCACAAATTCTTGGATAACTAGCACATGAGTAGTTGCAAGTGATTGGATCCTTGAGAAACGAGCCCTTCTCCCATTGACACCTTAAAAACTGAATTTTCTTTATCACCTAGATGCCTTTGGAGATTAAAAACTGAATCTTTTCTTCTCTTATTCATTTGTTTATTCCTTGGTAAGTCAAGTTTATAATTTCATGCATCCTTTGTTTTCCATTATTTCTATTATTGCTTCCCTATGCCTACTTTTGTACCTTTTTCATTTTTGTAGTTTCTGGTTTGCAATTTTGTAAGTTTCAGATGTGACGCACAAATATTTATGTCAAAGTATTTATTCTAAGTTAAGATGGTTTTGGGGACAAAATCCTTTAACTCAATCCGTTTGGATGAAAAACTTATTTTGTTATATTTTTTACCCTTTGATTGCATATCTAATCTGTGTTTTAAACCTCTCCTGTGTTGTGCGAAATTTCATTTTTTTAATTCCTTTTGTTATTTCATGATTTACAGGCTATTACACATTTCAAAAGTACTCATACACTTTGCATTTCACTTACTCACTCTTCTCATTGTGTTGATCATTTCTTATAAATTTGTTTCCAGATATCCCTACATTCAAAGCTGCACTGATTTTATTGACTGCTTTTGGTGTCGTTCCTACAGTTGCATTCAAGTATGTTGTTCCTCTCTTCTAATTTTTTAATAGCATCGAATTCATGTGTTGCTCGGCATTTAAGTTCTGACAAATTTCAATATCAGCGAAGCAATCTAATAATTTTGTATGTAGAGAATATAATCTTGATCTGAAACAATTACTATGATATCGATAATAAGACAGACTTCTCAAGTACAGATACTTTTGACTATGTAGAAATAAGTGCAATAATTGGAAAAGCTAATATATAATGGTTTTAARAGAAAGTGAAAACATGTTACCTTTTTCAAAGTTGTCGCATTTCAACAGTAATTTACACACCCAAACTTTTCCATGATTTTTATAAAAGGGAGGGAATGATAAGTTTTCTGAATTCTGTCAACTTATATGACCTTCCCATTTTGACTTTGAGAACCCTTAACTGGAAAATCTGCCAAAAACCCCCCTTATCATCTTGTGCTTTTGTGCAGTGTGTACAATGTTTACAAGGTYGTTCAGGCAAGAAAAGGAAACATGCTATTAGCATTAGCGATGGTAATAATCACATTGTCTATTAACTCTGGTTTATCTATGTTATATTGTAATAATAAAAAGATTTTTGTTTCATTGTCCATACAGCTTTACCCTTTTGTGGTACTCGTTGGAGGAGTCTTAGCATGGTAAATTTCAGTACATTTCTTTCCCTCACTTAGTACATTATAGTAATCATATTTGTTTTTACAACATTTATATCTCTCATTTAGGGATTATTTGTCACCTACTGGCATTATTGGAAACTATCCGCATCTGGTTATAACTGGAACTGGACTTGCTTTTGGATTCCTAGTGGTAAGACATAGGTGTTCTCTCTCTCTCCGCCCACCTTTTATTGTTATTGTCATATTTGATCTTACACCCATAAGAGAGGTGAACTTATAATTACGTTATAAGAATGCAATGAATAGGAACTTCATTAAGCTCATTAAGTTGACTTTGGGCAGCCATGTTTACATTGTGATGTTAGTGATCCAGGTATTCCTGCATCCACTCTTATCTTTTAGAAGTTATGGCAGGGATGTTGGAGGACTGAGTTGGTATTTTTAGTGTTATTATTATAAAATGGAGGTTTTGATGGAATGCTAAGCCAGACCCTTTTTCTTGCAATTTTTGTCAGTATAAATGTCAAATAGGCAAGCGTTCTGCACCATGGATGGGTTGTTCATAGTTGGAAGTATATTTAATGTTGAACCATTTTATGGCTTTGATGACATACATTAGTTGGGAGTTGGAGACTTGAATATAATGAACTCTAGGATTTCTAATAATATAATCCTTGTGTTTTGCAGGGTAGAATGATTCTAGCTCATCTTTGTGATGAGCCCAAGGGCCTGAAAACTGGAATGTGCATGGTATGTTGCTTTTATGAACCAAAATATTACGTATAAACTTGTTATTATTCGCTGACCAATACGTGAAACAGAAAAGAGAGTTTGTTGATTTTCATTTCTGATATTATGTAGTCAAATTATGGACTTTGCATTGAGTCAACTGACTTTTCAAGCCTGGTTATTCGAAAAATTATCGTGCTGTTCTGAAAATCTTCATGAAGAGACATGATTATAACATTTTATCCTGCCAACCATCATGGGATGGCTCAAGTGGTCAATGAGGGCCTTTGTAAATAGTAAARGACTTAGAGGGAACGAGTTCAAACCATGGTGGCCACCTACCTAGGATTTAATATCCTACGAGTTACCTTGTCAACTAAATGTMGTAAGGTCAGGCGGTTGACCCGTGATTAGTCGAGGTGCGCACAAACTGGCCCGGACACATGGATTTCAAAAAAAAAAAAACATTTTATCCTGCCTTGCTCTTTTGCTGTATTTTTATTTGACCTTTAGTTTAGTAATGAAAAATTTTCACTTAAACCAGTGTTTGATGAAATTATCTAACAAAATAGAATGAATAACATTTTTTTGCCTATCCAGTCTGTAAAGAGCATAATTCATAGTTGAAGTATTAGTCACTGACTCAGAAATTCTAGAGATGGGCATGAATTAGTGACTCAAACCAGTGTTAGATGTTACACACATAAAATAATTATAAACAAATGATGCTCGAACAACTTTCAAAATATTCTTGAATAACTTTCAAAGTAAGAAATTTTTTCATAAAATTATTTAGAATAAAACTATCCTCAGTTGATCAAATGGTCGTTGGTAAATGGTGTAAGATGAAGTAATTATCAGTTATCACGTACAGTAGCTTGAGATAGGTGTAAATGAGCTCGTGCACCTTTAAAGCAAAATCCACAAGGATATTGTAGCAAGTATCTACGAATTTTTCTTGAATTCTAACCATGACGGATTTATGTATTATGTGTTATTGTTCAGTTTCTATGGAAATTGTCTGCTCATTTTTAAGATCTTCATTATTTCAACTGCTTCATATGATCTTGATGAGTCTGAGTTTGAAGCTAGATTATAAAATACATGTTTTTGTTTAACATCTATGCAGTCGCTATTATTTCTTCCTCTTGCCATTGCAAATGCTCTCACAGCAAGGCTTAACGACGGGTATGCGGTTACGGGTTGTACAGTTTGCAAAGATGGAATGGCATATCATTTATACTGACAATAAAGTTCTGTTATTCTGTGTGGCAGGATACCTTTAGTTGATGAAAGTTTGGTTGTTCTTGGTTATTGTCTTTTTGCTGGTATGTTTATTTTTAACTATTCTCTCCATCTCCAGCCCTCTCTATAACGAGCATTTGATAGGTCTGTGAAATGTCACCTCTCTAAGTCGTGTGGCATTTTTCACGATTTCTGATCTTTTCTTCTTTTCGTTTTCCGTTTCATCAGTTGCTCTGTATCTGCACTTCGCCACTTCAGTCATTCATGAGATCACCACTGCCTTGGGAATCTATTGCTTCAGGTGGGAAGAAAACTTCGGCTACAGCTCATTTCTTTTCTATGAGATTGAAAATCCAAAATTACTTGACAAAATACGAATTGAAACCGAATCTGATTTTGGCATGAACAACTCCGATGAAGATTATTATTACTTTTCACATGACTCTGTTCTGTAATGAATAAACAAATATATCTTTCTGTAGTATATGTTGTTTCTTATATTATCCTGCATCTCTTAATTATTGTTTGCTTTTATTCATCAGGATAACCAGGAAAGAGGCATAGAGTTGGCTGCAGTTTTACTTGGGGTAAGTTTTAAAACTTTCTTTATGATCAAACCCACATTACAGTTAATGATTTCCAAAACTTCATTATTTTGCATTTGGTTCTTGATTGATTTTGATGCTCATAACAAAAAATGTTCTCTCAGCCAACTGGAAGTTGGAATGATGCAGCTGTAAATTTCTCCTTRTGAAGAGAAACAACAATTCTGCATTACTKAGATTTTGGTTGATATCATTTTTGGATGAAATTAAGGATAGTTTTTCAATCCAGTGATTGTAATTCAATTCATCCCCTACTCTGGTTGATGATTTATCGGATCGGTATAGGGTTATTTTAGGTATATTGATATTCTCAATTTTAACTCTAGAAAGAGGAACTTATAAAATCTTGTTGTAGCGTTTCATCATTTTTTAGTGAAGAAGATAGATGATGGAGTATCATTGGCTGTCTTTCAAATGGATTGAATTTAACATGCTACTTCTAACATGGTGGAGAGCTATTTGAAGGGAATCCACACTTCTCTTTGCTAAATTTCTGTTGATACTCAATTTGATAATAACTTTTTTTTCCTTAAAAAATCAAATAGTTACCAAATGCAATTTTTTTTTTTTTTCCTACAACTCATTTCAAGTCAAGTAATCAACCTAATAGTCAAACCATTTCAATCTTTAAGGGATAATTATACATATTGAAGCTTTTTAAAAGATTAATTAATAAAAAAACTACATTATGGCACATTATCAAATGATAATTCTTCAATGTTATGACTAAAAAACTAAACCATTTATATGTTGTTTTCGTTTTCTTAAATTAAATAAATGACTAAAATACATGTTATGCATTTGGATTTTCTATAACACTCCCATCTCCATTTCACGTACAATATAATTAAGTATTCGACTATATGACTATGAAAACATCACCATCAAATATAGTTAAATTCAACCCTTTAATTTATTCTCAAATATGTAACACACATATATATAATTTAAAAATTAAAAAAAAAATCAAAAACAAAACTTTCCTATCGAAGTCTTTATTTCTTAGTATCGTCAAATTCTATTAGACATAAAATGGATGAGTGTGTTAAAAAATTATGAGACTCATCAAATTGAAAGTTTATAAAATTTAGAGATACATCATACACAAGTTTAAACATTCAAGGATTAAATTGAAACTAATAGTTTAACTAAAAAATAAATATCTATACCAACAATGTTTTAAATTTTCGTTCACGTATCAACATTTACATACATCTATGAGTTTGATATCGACTTGAGAGTTAAATCAAATACTTAATTAAATTGATATTATTTCTTTATTGAAATTTCCATAAAACTGACTTTTAAAATCTACATATAACTACCTCGTTGCTTTGGCTAAAAAAAAACTACATTGTTGCGTGATATAAAATAGATGAATTTGGAGAAATTTCCAACACACAAACCATTTTGTTTGTTCCAACATATATAGATTATATACCATTGCCACAAATATATAACCACCAACACAAGAAACTTGGATGATCAACAATGGCCTCCGATGATGATGATCAACATCATCTTGTTCTTCTCCCACAACTCCCCGAAGACATCATAATCTTCCACATCCTCACGAAACTCCCCACGAAATCTCTCCTCCGTTTCCGCTCCGTCTCCAAATCATGGAACTCCGCCACCTCCCRTCCTCTCTTCCTCTCTCTCCGCCTCTCCGCCGCCTCCGTCCTCGATTCCTCTCCCACATCCTCATCTCGGCCTCCCAACCCAACTCCTCCTGCCACCACCTCCTCTCTGCCGCCCTCGGCCCTCTCCCTCCGCTCACACACCTCCTCTCCCTTCCTCTCCGCCACTCCCTAGTCGTCAAACCCGCCAACGGCCTYCTCCTACTCCACTTCCCAAACGACCTCTATTCCGACCGCCCCGATCTTCCCGCCTACATTTTCAACCGCCGTGCCCGAGACATCATCCCTCTCCCTCCCAACGCGCCCACGAACCAGAAAGTTAAAATCTTGTACCATCTTGGTTACGATGCGTTGGGCGACGAGTACAAGGTTTTGCAGATTTGGAGGTTTATTGACACCAATCTTGAGATGTCGGAGAGTGGCATGGTTTTTAAAGTGTTGAGTTTGGGGTCTGGGAAATGGAGGCGGATTCGGCCTCGTCGGATCCCGTTCTTCTGTAGTTCTTATAGTGCTTTGTTTTCTCCTTGCTGTGCCTCTAATGGCGGAATCCACTGGGTCGTACACCCCAAGAAATTTGTCTTGGTCTTCAATCTCCACGATGAGGAGTTTGCTTCCATTCCGTTTCCTCAACCATTCATCCAACAACAAAGGTATAAACTTTAACAATCCCCTCTTCATTAAAGATTCATTTTTGGTTGGATAATAAATTTATCATTAGGGATTAAAAGTTTTAAGGTTTATTGGATAACTATTTYGATTTTATCCTAGAAAAATTAAGTTCGATATTATTTTATATTTTTTGAATTAGTTTTACCACAATATTTAAAGTTTAGGGATCTAATATGCATATTTTTGCYCACGAGAATAAATTAGCTATAATTGATAACATTCTATTAAGGTTGGAAGTTCAAACCTTTATATATCTCCAATTTATGTTTTACTAAAAAAAATAATACACATACTTTTTAAATTCACCCAACTAGATTTATATATTAGACACAGTTCTTAAAAGTCTAATTAGAAACAAAACTTGTAATTTAACCCAACATTTTTATCCATAGATACTTAAAACTAATTATTTAGTGCGATTTAATTTCTATACTCTATCAAGATTCTAATTAGGCCCTTAAACTTGTYGTGTCTGATCTAATATATTTTACTCGGTTAAATTCATTAATTTAATTGTTTTCAGCCCGGTAACATTAAATTAACTCACYGAGCAATCTTTTAATTAACAAAATTGACACCATATACTAGTTTATATTATAATTTTATTTTAGAGTTAGACCTATCAGATACAATATCAAACAGTTGAGGGAAAAAGAGAATTAATACCCTAAAACTAAAACTTGGTTTTGGGAGTTAAAAAGAAACAAAAAACAAGCGTGTAAACTCAAATAAAAAAAAACTGCCATGCAGTTCACATTGAGGAAGAACATGTGGTGGAAGTTGGGACGTGTTTGGCACTTGTTCTAAAAACCAGTTCTTCGGATTAGATTGAGATGTGGGTGTTGAAGGATTACCAGAACCACATCTGGGTTCAACTTAAGGAAGCCACTTTCCAATACGACATGTCGTCGGAAGATGATGACCACTGCTCCTCTCGTCTCCCTCTTCCTCTGGGCTCTGTGAGTGATGGCGATGAAGAGATTTTAGTGTTCAAAAATCCATGGGGAAACAGGGACCACGGCTGCTCTACTATGACATCAAACGGCGCCGTTTTCGTGGAGTGGAGATTCGTGGGCTGTCTGAATGGCTGTCGGCTAATGATGTTGCTGTTACAGATTGTAGTTTTGATGCTTACGAAGAGAATATTGTCACTCTGTCCTCTCTAATTGCTTGACTGCTCAATCGGTTTTCACGTTTTCGGTTAGAGTTTGCTTTTGCTATGTTTGTTTGTCTGTWTTCTTTAAAATATATGTGAAAAAATTAAATGCTATATGATATATACAACTACTATTTTAATCCTCTACTTCTGTTTCGACTCATTTTGATCATTTTTTAACAAAATGTTTATGTTGATTCATATATACSTCCGATGTTTGTTGACTTTAATTTCTATACTTTCGAATGGTTTATTTTAATCTGGTTTATTTTAATCTCTATATATTTATTAGAGGAAAAAATACAACATAACATGTGGACCAATCAATTCAGGTCAGTACCTTCGTGGATCTGTCCAAACTAGGCTAATTGAGAAAAACGAACTATAACTCAGGTYCGCGAGCTAGAGATCAGAACTCAAATGGAGAATCGCCCAAGTTCTATTCAACCGACCTGATGTCTGATAATCGATTCGGGGGCCTGACAGCCATAACTATTGGTCAGAGTGGTTCCAACGGCCTTGTCTCCCCCCATCRCCTATAAAAGGRACATTTCGCTACTCCGATCAGGTACGCAATTCTACTATGAGAACGACCTATTTGAGCTTGCGCCTATATTGACTTGAATGTCAAAGTGTTTGCTTTCTTTTTGTAGGTCATACCTTGCATGAGCTCGCACCTCATTAGCTCAAACAGTTGCCACGTGGCCGATCTTAGTAGCTCGGTAGAATCCTGCATCAATTGTGATTTTAAAAGCTAACTATTTTGGTCACTGTTTCCTAGATTCTAACACAAATTTTAYATAAAATAAATTTTTTAGACAAATTTATTATCACACTTCAAGAAAATTACTGATTGTAATGTTGCGTGTATTAAAATTGTGATTGAAAATTACAAGATAGAAAAGAAAATAAAGGGAGATCAAAATAGTCTGCTTTTTTTTTTAGTACAACAACAAAAATGGATATTTCAAAAATAGTTACAACAGACTAAATTTTGATTAAAATAAGAAGTACAAATGGACCAGTATTAGACATCTTGAAAGTCGAACTACCYAAAGTAAACAAATTAATTGAAACTACATGAAACACGATAGTAGTTAAACTAACTTTCAAACTTAAAGAAGAGGTTACATTGTAATCAATTAAAGGTCGATATTATTTAAAGGACAAAAGCAACAAAGTTGAGTGAATCTCGCTTACATTAGTTAAAAGTAGTAGATTATCTCTTAATGAAAAAAATAGTGAGAACGTTGTTGTTTTTAGTAGCTAAACAATGTTGTTTCATAGTATGTATGTCAAGTATTTTACTAACTTTTCGAGTTCTATAACTCGTTATAAGCTAGATAATCTCTTCCATTTTATAAATTTTTTCTAATTAGGTGTTTTCTYATAAAAAGAAGAATAAAAAAGAATTTGCATGACATTTAGTCGAATCTAAAAAAACATAGAAAAAGTAAGTTTTTAAATGAAGTCATGAAATTGGTCATGTACAATAACTTTCTGTTGCAATATAACTGAGAATATAGTTTTCACRTATGGTTATTGATTTTATGATTTTTACTTTTGCCCGGAGCCTTAAGTAATAAAAATCAAATATCTACYAACATGATTCAAGTGGTTAAGACACCTATCTCTATACGTCCCCGGGAAACTCTACAATAATTAGTTTAATCGRTTGGTCTGAGGTCTGTGCTCTGTCCACAAAATCCTTTAATGAGATGGATCGGTCCYTGGAATATGTCGTACTCGTCCCGTCCACAAATRYCCTATACAAACGTCGAATTAGCTTGAATTAGTYCCTCTCTTTCTTGCCCTGTAGCAGCAAGAAGTACACATTCATCTCTTTCTGTAATTCAATATGCCTGGAACTTTTGARAGTRCAAAAYCTATAATAAATAGAAGTTGAATATRCTTCTCGTATTGGAATTTTGGAAAACATGGGCTCAATCCRRAGGGGATCAACTCGAAAAAACATSAATAAAATTTGGAAGCATAAAAATTTAAAAAACTAAGAGCTGATGTAAAAATAATATTTAGAAAAAAGAAAAAAAACGTAGTCGAAAGAACTCACGAGTCACAACCTTGACCCAAGTTGCAACTGAAATCGCTCAGATGAACCAGCGATTGAAGATATGTTAAGGGTTTAAGGGTTTTAATCCTGCACTCTGCGTTTCTTCTCACTCTCCTCTCTTCTTCTACACATTGGATTTTCCTTTCAATCCTTCGATTGGTTTACATTAGTTTCGTCATCCACAACATGTACGGCGATCCTCAACAGTTTCAGCAGCACCAGCAGCACCAGCAGCAACCCAATCAGCATCCTCTTGGTGGGGATTTTCAAAGAGGTCCGCCCCCACCTGGACCGCCCATGATGAGGCAGCCATCTGCTTCTTCTACTACACTCGCTCCGGAGTTTCAACAGCACCATCACCCCCGCCACCCCTCAGGCCCTGCTCCTCCTCCTTATGACGGTAAACTGTCTTTTGTTTTACATTTTTCCTGAAATTGGGAGTTCCTACTACGACCCAAGTCATTTTCGACATTGGGTTTGTTGCTGGGTTTCTGGAGATGTTGCTAACTTTCTCCACAGGGCTTTGGATGTATGGGTTTTCCATAAATTTTATATATTTTCATTCCATGGTATAAACTTCACTTCATTTTCCCAAAAAAGAACGAGCGCTTTCCACCTTGATACCGCTTCTAGATGAAAATCGTAGATTTTTATTTGGATTTATAATCTTGTTTTTTTTTTTTTTATTTTTGATAAGAATAATCTTGTTTGTATCACTGCTACTTTGTTTTACTTTATGATGTCATTTCTTTTGAGAACACACAGTTGGTTCTGGTCTTGTTTCCTGCAACATTCTATTATTTGAAATACTTTTTTTTATGAGAAAGTGACAAAGAGTTGGGCCTTCGGGGCTGAGGGGAATTTTTCATGAAGCACTTTTGGATGGAGGTGGGTTGGCCTTGATCCATATTGAATCCCTGTTATTGCTTTGTTAACACAATTTAAGCAATCCAAGTGAAAGCAAACTCTTCTAGTTTATCATCGTGGAGGTTTATTCTCATTTAGATGAAACAAATTGAGGCAGTATCATCGCTGAACTCCTTTGTTTTAACCCATTTGGTTTACAATTGCCTTAAAATTTTTTGACAAAAAGATTCTAGAACTTGGTCTGCCACCAAATGTCCTCCTACTCCCATCACTAAGAGTTAGCTTTGAGTTATTTTCTTTAAGATACCCTCTTTAGCATTAGATCAGAGAAACCCTTTGAACAACATGGAATCACTAGCCCTCAAGTCGTTAGAGTGGTCTTGATAGTTAGGTTTGCACGAGGGGTTACTTGATGATAAGTAGAGGGGCATATGTTTGTGATCAGATAACTTGTTTTTGAAACATTGCTCCAACCCCTACATGCCTGGCACACACGTTTGATGTGGCAGGAAAACACCCTGGGATATGCTCGGGCTATTAACTTTTGCTTTTTTTGGAAATTTCTTTGACACTTTCTCCATTTTTTTTTTGGTAAGAAACGAATATTTCATTGATGATATGAAATATACAAAAGGCCCATGGGCAAGTTACAAGTACACCTTTCAATTTGAGATAAAGTTGTTTAGATGGTAATTATTAAAGGGAGAGTAGAAACATTTGTTGACAATGTTTCTTCTATTTCTAATGAGTCAAAGATATATTTGTTGCAGCCCACGGGGATAATTTTGCTGCAAAAAGAATGAGAAAGCTTACTCAAAGGAGGGCAGTTGATTATACAAGTACTGTGGTGCGATACATGCAGGTAATACTTGTGTATGGACTTGACATATCTTGTCTTCTGCCATAGCCCATAGCTCTAGTTTTCTGTTTAAGTTCAATTTCCTGCCTTTAGCAA